GAGACAGGTGTCGTTGGTGTGGTCGATCAGCTGATTCGTCCAGCTCGTCATGTCTTCGTGTATTTGGGCCACCTTTTGGCGTGTGTACTCATCAGTATCCCGAGAACGTTGTGGGTGCCGATCAAGTCGTTGCTCGCATGCTCAGAGACGGGCGCTTTGTGCCTCCAGCTCGCCTTCCAGACGTGCGAGGCGCCCCTCAACACGTACTTTCTCGGCATCTCTTTCACGAATAACCTGGGAGAGCTCCAACTGCGCGTGGTCCGCCGCCTTCTCAACCTCCTGCAACCTGTCAGCGAGGCGGGCGAAATCGTAAACACGGGGGGGGAATCCAGCTGATCAGTCTGGGCTCGTCCGACGCGCAACTCTGCCAGGGCGTCCTGTACGCCAGGAAAACGCTGCCCGATGTCAGAGATCCGGTTAGCGAGTGGCTGCATGACAGCGTTGGTCGCATCAAGCCTTTGAGTGATGACTCTCTCAGTACGTTGCAACATGTCGATCAGGTTCGACGAGTTGGCGCGTGCTTCGTTGCGAAGCGTCGCCGTAGTGCGGTCCATGTGGGATCGAAGATCATTGATCTGAGACTGAACGTCGCCAAGGTCGGTGGCCTCGGCTGGTGGTGGTCGGTTGCGGAGCTGGTCGTGGATCTCATCGTGGAGGATCCTGACTGCTGAAACGCCTGTGTCGCGTACGAGCACAAGCTGTTGCTCCATCTGCGCTAGGTAGTGGCGCAGATTCTCGACCATCGCCGTTCGTTCACCTGAGTATGACACCTCACGATCAACCTGGCACTGCAGTTCACCTATGATGCGTCGATCTTCGGCAATCCTGGAACCGATGATCCCTAGGGCGCCGTCAAGATCGTGGCGCGTGGCTGCAGCATTGGCAGCGTTCGTCTGAACGCTCTGCAGTAGTCCAGAGCATTGCCTGGACACGAAGGTTTCAACCTGGTCTCTGAGCTCAGCTATTTCACCTGCGGCGGACGTTTCCGCCAGCTGGTCGTCTGAGATGGAGAGGTGGGGAGCGTCAGCTTCCCTCGGCCCCCTCTCGCGGGGAGTGCATGGCCTCTGAGAGGCAGTACGCGGGCTCGACCTACTCTCGCCGCATGGGCCTGGGGCCCCACGACGGTTGCGCGCGGACGAGCTGCGACTAGGACCATGTGTGTGGTGTCTCATCCGATGATACCTTGGGGTACTGCGTCTGCGGCTGCGCCGTCACTGGTCTACTGAGTTCCTCGAAGGTGGCTACGTGCTCCGCAACAGGAACGGTCGCAGGGCTGGGGGTTCCAGCACCTGAGGTCCATCGGCGGTTAGCGCGAAAGCGCCCTGGAGTATCATGACCAGCGAGGCTTTCGCCTGACGCAGTTGGGATTGCTCCCGACTGGGGAGGAGATGGAAGATCGAAGGTAGGCGTGTGAAACTCCTTCCTCCCTGATCCTACTCCTTCTCCTGTCCCCCCGCGGGCGGCACTGCGGTGAAGTTCAGCAGCTAACCGCGCCTCGGGTCCGTCGGAGCTGGGGGGGGGGTACCCGGGACACCAACACAGTCCGCACTAAGGCTCTCCAACTCATCACCGAGCCGTCGCGCCGTCGGAGAGCTCGGACGCGAGGCCCCGATGGACCCCTTACGGCGCATGCGCCGCTTGGGTTCCATCGAAGCCGCGTGCGAGATCGCGACACGGGTTTCGATGAGCAGTGAGCTTTAAAGGGCTGATAACCTGTGTATGGGGTTGAAGTACAAGGGTACAGAACCCCTGATCCGTTGGTAGAGGGAAGGAGGGATAGATGGATGTTTTTCCCTCCTGCACGATCAAAGGTATGATCGATCCGTCCCAATACCTGAGCCCAAACGGCCAGGCGCAGGAGAGGTGAGGATAAGGAGTATATATGAGGGTATTACACGGGTTCTATTCACACTTCGCTGTGCGCTGAGTCCGCCTCGGGCTCTCTCAACCTCGTGCCAGCCGTCCCCCAAAGCCCCCGCGCCGTGGCCCCTGTCGGGGGACCTTCCTCGGGCCCACGGGCCATCAAAAAGGTGAATCATACCGGTCCCGGGAAACGTGTCGAGGCCTCTGGGGGTCCGCGCTGCGGAGCAACAAAACGCACGCCGTCCTGGGCCTGAGCCGGGGAGGGGCGGCGTTGGGCAGTGCGGCCGCCGATCCGCCCGCCCACGAGGCCGAAAAAACCATGGCGATTTTTGTGCCAGCCTCGTGGTTTCTTCGACCTCGTACGGTTTCCTTTCGGCGGCGAGCCCCAGGGGGGAGTGAGAAGGAGAAGGTCTTACTTATCAGAAGGCTCGGAAGGCTCCCAGCCTCGAGAGAAGTGTTCTCTGAGCTTTCCCCGAAGACACCAAGAAATTTCTCAGAGGGCGCGAGGGCTTCTGAGAAGACCCTACCGCCTTCGGAGAAGGCCTTCTCCTCCTCACTTCCCCCCCCCGCTCGCCACCGATTGATACCTCCCTGGATATCATGGCCACCTCTTCTCTTCTCAGCGAACTCCCTGCCCCTCCTACAGGGGGATCTGCGACAACAAGTAAGACATCAACAAACATGCTCAAAAGTATCTAAACATGATATAAAAATTGTCCCCATACCATTCCTGTACTAGTTTGTGAGATTCCTCCGCTAGAGCGACGTGCCCGACTTCACGCTTGCTGACCGCCTCGGGCTTCTTTCTTGTTTCAGCCTCGTCGGTGTCTCTGCTCGCGAGCGTGCCAGCCGCCCGCGGCCGCCCTGCAAGGCGGGCTGCCTCCGGAGGGCCGCGTGCGGGAGGCGGCGGATCGTCGGATCGGCCGGGTGACCACGTGCGCGGCTGGGGCTCCATGGGGGACCCAAAGAGGGCCCAAAGAGGCAACAATCATTTACTTTCCTTGTGTGCTTCGATTTGTTTCGCGGCCTCGCGTGCTCGGGCTTCCGACGCCCCAAGATGGCCCGGAGGCCCCTAAGACCGCCCCAAGACGGCCCAAGATGCCCGCACGAGGGCCCCAAGACGGCCGAAGAGGCCCCAAAACGGCCCAAGAACAAACGTGTCCATACCCATGCCCTCGCGACCAAGAATCTGTGACGCGGTCCCGTGGACACGCGGTCGCCCGGGTGCGATCCGCGCGGGGCATCCGCGTAAAAACGACCAGTATCCACGGAGTCGCGACCCTGTGACCCAGCCATCGAGGCTGTGGATACGGATACGCTTTTCGTCCACGACCAAAGACAGGAAGGGATCTCATGTCGAACTTTCATTGGCTGAGGCCCCTCGTCATTAGGGACCCCCTCCCCCCCCGAAGGTCAGGCGTTGGAGGCGCAGTGCTGGGGGCTAGGAGCCCAAGGGCGCATGCAGCCGAGCGGAGCCATAAGGGGCGGATAGCCCTGGGGCTCAGGGGTGGGCATGACACGCATTCGCCGGGGAGCCTCGTTGAAGACATGGAGCCCCTGTGCTATCCAACCCTGTTGCAGCCGCCGACTGCAGCAGAGCGGAACCCTGTGGGGCGTCCGCCCCCCCGGCGTCGCCTGGACGCGAGGCGTGTCGGGGTCGGACAATTGCTTCCGCAAATCGGGGTGTGTCGGGGTCGGTCGGGTCGTGTCGGGTCGATGTCGTGTCGGGTCGTCGGGGGCGGGTCGTGTCGGGTCGGTGTCGGGGTAGGTCGATCGAGCCGCTCCCGGTCGAGCCGACCGAATCCTGCGCAGGCCACCTCTCGGGGGCGGCCAAAAATGGGGGCGAGGGGGAAGGGGAGGATGCCTGGGAGCGGAGGGCAAGGGGAGGGGAAGGGAGGCGGGCGGGAGGGGGGGGAGCGGATTGGGAGGGGATGGCTGGGCAGGGCAGTGAAGGGACAACAGGGAGGGGAGGGGCGAGGGAGCTGAGGGGAAGGGAGGAAGGTTGGGGGGGAGGGGGGGGCAGGAAGAGGAGTTCATGCCCAGCACAGAACACCCGATCTGGCCAAGCGCGGAGCGCTCGGCCCACCTCCGATCAGGGTGCCCAAAGGCCTGCATGAAATCGCATGCAGTCGACCCAGAAGGGGGCAGGAAAAGGAAGAGGAACGTTCGGCTGCGAAGGGTGGGAATGAAATACCGAAACCTGGACGATGGAGGCGTAGGTGGTGGGCAGGTGAATCGTAGGTCGAAGAATCCGTCGCTCATAGTGCGCGCGCGATTGCCTTAGCGCATCTGGCATCACTGCGTCTAGAAAAGGCGGGCATCGGCAATACCACTCGCTGCAGCGCAAACATCGGCTGATGTTTCCGATGCGACTGGAGCCAACGCATACATTGAGCGGCGACGGCCACCACGCCCGAAGAGAACGACTGACACAACCTTGCAGAAGCGAAGTATGAGGGCTTCACTGACTGTGTCGACCCCGGTTACAAGCACGGCTCTGGTTCATTCCCTCCTCCTCCTCCTCCTCCTCTACCTCCTCTGCAATGTGTGATGGTGTAATGTGATCTCCATATTGTTGTTTCTCTCTCTCTCTCTCTCTCTCTCCCCTCCCTCCCTGTTACACATACAGATATGTATCGCATAATCCACTTCCCCGTGGGAAATGAGTACGAGGTGAAAGAAGGCGTTTGGACAGGGGGAGAGAGAGAGAGAGACAAATATAGCGAGAGAGAGAGAGAGAGAGATAAATAGAGAGATAACGAGAAACAACACCATCCATATCTGTAAAACTAGAGGGTGAGAGATAATATATTACGAACAACGGTAAGGCGAATGAGAGAGAGAGAGAGAGAGAAAAAAAAAAAAAAAAAAAAAAAAAAAAAAAAAAAACGAACCAAAACACATCTGTGTACATCTATATATATATATATATATGTATACGAAAAATACACGCGCGTGTATACATGTGTATAAATTTAATAGAGCGAGGGAGAGGGAGACAGATACGAGAGGGAGAAAGAGACGGAGAGAGAGAGAGAGAGGAACAGAAAGAGAGAGAGAGAGAGAGAGACCACAAGAGAGAGTTGGAAAGAGTTGGAGAGTTGGAGAGAGGGGGAATAAGGGCAGGAAGAGTGGGCCTCTGCGGCCGGGTGCACCGACTCGTCGCTGGGGAAAACCGGGCAGCGCTCGGGCTCCCAAGCGGCGGGCATCGCAGGGCCTCAGTACGACGCGTCTCGTTCCCCTTCTCTCTCTCTCTCTCTCTCTCTCTCTCTCTCTCTCTCTCTCTCTCTCACGGTATCCCTCCCTTCCTATCTGCAAACATACACGTTCATCCGTCGCTGCATGTCTCTCCAAAGCTGCCCCCCACACTCCCACTCCTGACGATCGTCCTGTCTTTGTCGACAGATTGTGCTCGATGTCTTTACTACCCCTGCACACGTTTCAGAAGCAGGGCTTCCTCAAGGGGGCGCGACAAGAACACGAGTGACTTGCCCTGGGTTGTGAGGTTGCACCGCGGTTGCACAAGAGCCCTCCCAGACTGGTGCAGCAGGTAAGGTTCCGCCTTGGTTGCCGCGGATGTTGGGATCGCGCTGGACTTACACAAGGTCCTGCTGGTGGAACACCACTCAAAAAATCCCGTCTTATCGGTTCCCGTCTCAATTACCCGTGATACTTGGACTGCGTGATATCTGCATTGGACCCCCTCCGACGAGGTTGTTCCCAACCATCCTGTGGTGTTGGGTCCTCGTTTTGAAAAGACGGTGCCGCGCGTTCCTCCTCCCGTTGCCCCCTCCCCCCTCCTCCCATCATCATCACCATCCTCATCATGCTCATCATCATGAGTATCGCCATCATCATCATCCACATCGTGGTTGCCGGTCATCATCATCACCATCATCATCATCATCATCATCATCACCATCATCATCATCATCATCATCATCATCATCATCATCATCATCATCATCATCATCATCATCATCATGATTATCATCATCATCATCATCATGAACATCATCATCATCATCATCATCATCATCATCGGCACACCCCTCACACGTTTCGTGGCCTCATCGGGAGCTCCACTGAAGGCCCAAATTGCTGCGTCCGCATGCCGCCGCCACCCAATTTTGGCACACCCCTCACACGTTTCGTGGCCCCATAGGGAGCTCCACCGAAGGCCCAAATGGCTGCGTCCGCATGCCGCCAACACCCAATTTTGGCACACCCCTCACACGCTTCGTGGCCCCATAGGGAGCTCCACCGAAGGCCCAAATGGTTGCGTCCGCATGCCGCCGCCACCCCATTTTTGGCACACCCCTTACACGCTTCGTGGCCCCATGGGGAGCTCCACCGAAGGCCCAAATGGCTGCGTCCGCATGCCGCCGCCGCCCAATTTTGGCACACCCCTCACACGTTTCGTGGCCCCATAGGGAGCTCCATCTAAGGCCCAAATGGCTGCGTCCGCATGCCGCCGCCACTCCATTTTTGGCACACCCCTTACACGCTTCGTGGCCCCATGGGGAGCTCCACCGAAGGCCCAAATGGCTGCGTCCGCATGCCGCCGCCGCCCAATTTTGGCACACCCCTCACACGTTCGTGGCCCCATAGGGAGCTCCATCTAAGGCCCAAATGGCTGCGTCCGCATGCCGCCCCGCCATATTTGGCACACCCCTCACACGCTTCGTGGCCGATAGGGAGCTCCACCGAAGGCCCAAATGGCGCATGCGCGCCCGCCACCCAATATTGGCACACCCCTCACACGCTTCGTGGCCCCATAGGGAGCTCCACCGAAGGCCCAAATGGCTGCGTCCGCATGCCGCCGCCACCCGATTTTGGCACACCCCTCACACGTTTCGTGGCCCCAAAGGCCCCGATGGCTGCGTCCGCATGCCGCCGCCCGCCCAATTTTGGCACACCCCTCACACGTTTCGTGGCCCCATGGGGAGCCCCACCGAAGGCCCAAATGGCTGCGTCCGCATGCCGCCGCCGCCCAATTTTGGCACACCCCTCACACGTTTCGTGGCCCCATAGGGAGCTCCATCTAAGGCCCAAATGGCTGCGTCCGCATGCCGCCGCCACCCCATATTTGGCACACCCCTTACACGTTTCGTGGCCCCATGGGGAGCTCCACCGAAGGCCCAAATGGCTGCGGCCCAGGCGTGATCCCGGACTGCGGCCGCCACGAGGTCGGGAACGGCAAGAAGGAGGACGACGACTGGTGGCTGGAGCTCTACGTGCTGCTCTCGCGCGCCACGCGCCACGAGGATCTCCTGCTCATGCGGGCGCCGCTCATCGAGTTCTTCCTGGCAGGGCCGCCGGAGGGCTTGCGGAAGCAGCTGGAGCAGTTTGCAGCGCGCACGAAGCGGTGCAGGAGGGAGGCGACGGCCCTCGCCAGAGAGCTGGGCTTCAGCGAGTTCATCCGCGAGGCCTGACCTGGGGAGCGGCCCCGCACGAGCCAGCGGCGCGCGCTGGTTGTCGCTGACGCTTGGATGACCCCAGCTCGTCGTCGGGATTTCTCGCCAGAGGATGACCGGCGCCTGTCGGGGGATTTCACCCAGATCGCGCCATTTTCGCACGCCTCGCCACGCAGTACGGGGGCGCTATCCGTTGACTCAGAGTCGCAGTGGACAACCCCCGCGCGTCGATGGGATTCCCTCGGGATGACCAGACCGCGTCGGCGAGGACTTCCCAGGCACTTTCGCGCGGCGCCGCCTGCGCGCTGCATTCTGCGTGGCTCGCTGTCGGTCTGGAGGCAAAAACGTCTCCCCTCGTCTCTCGCTCCTCCTGCTTCCCATCGCTTCTTGACCGCGCGCTTCCCCGTCTCGTTTCTGCCGCTGCTGACCTGCCTTCGACATCTACACGGTGTCTCCGTCACCTCTTCCTGCGTGCCCAGTAACAGGTCTCATGATGCGATGATGATACTGATGTGTTGGCTCGCCCCAGTGAGCTCTCCTCCTCCGCCCGCCACCTCCTGCCCGCGCTGCCCTGTGCCTCGTCCATGCAGTGGCGCGGTGCCTATGAGAAGAGGGGCCTAGTTTGCGTGCCCCCTCCTTCGTCTCATATCCGTGCGGTACTCGCAGCTGCATATGGTTGGGTCCTTCGCCAGGCTAATTTTCTTAGAGGCGCACATTGGTTGCAGTGGGTAGGAGGAGATGGGCCGCCGCTTGGAAAAGGGTCTCGCCCATAGGCTCCCGCCCCAAGAATCCTGCCCATGCTGACCTGTTGGCTGCCCGTTCTGGGGACCTTCCTGTAGCCACTCGCTCCACTCGTGCGTCGGAGCTGCGTCGGACGTCCGTCGACTCGAGTCGACCCTGAGTCAAACTTGAGTCGAACCTGAGTCGACCCTGAATCGAACCTGAATCGAACTTGAGTCGACCTGGAGTCGAACAGATCCATTGTGTGGACCCCAGAAGAGGTCCAAAAAACGAGCATCGAAGACCAGGGTGGGGGAGCACACCGTGACCTCGCGAGAGCCGTGCCCACGGCTTCTCTCCCACGGGTTTCCGTCGTGGCCGCCTCGTGCCGCGGGGGTTGCGCCACGCAGGCCGCTCGGGCCCAGCCCAAGGGGGCTCAGGGGATATCTTCACTGGTAGGGCATGGGCGCGCGGCAGCGGGTGGGGGGGGGGGCGGGCAATGCGGGGGGGGGGGGGGGGGGGGGGGGGGGGGGGGCGAGCAATGCAGGGAAGTGGCCTCAAACGGCACCCTACTGGCACCGCGGGCCAGGAGGCGGCGGCAAGGTGCGCATGGCGCCGCCTCTCGGTTCTCCCCTGACCCCTCTCGACGAACGCCCGAGCAGATTGGTTGCTCTGGGTGGTCGGGGGGCTTCGCTGCGCCGTCGCTGCGCTGGGCCCCGCCCGCAAGTGGAGCCTAAAGCCTCAGCTGCCCGGCGGCTCTGCTGCGGCGGTTGCCGACAGAGTCCCGCCGAGGACGCCCTGGCCTCAATGCCCATCACCCCACCGTGAATTGCTGCGAGCACACGCGCTAGCAACGGCATTCTGCTAGTTTTAGGTCGTGCGTGTCCCCCTACAAGCGGCTTTTGGGAGAAACATGAAAATAGCCAGGCGGGGGACCCAACCGGATGCAGTTGTGAGTACCGCAGTTGTCAATGTCTTCTTCGGTGGCGCTCCCTATGGGGACACGAGCCGTATGAGGGTGTGCCGAGCTGTGTGGCGGGGTACACAACACGACCGAAGACGGTAAGTCGAATTGCGCTAGACTGAGCGCTGGTGGGTCTGAGCGCGAATGAGTCTGAGTGTGAATGAGTTGTGCGCGAATGAAGATATTTGCATGAATGCGAGCGGTGCTACGCCTGCTGTAAATGAATATGATTGTGAATGGTTCGGGTATGCCTGGCTCTGAGTACTCGTGACACTGAGCGTGGCCGCCGAAGGGAGCTTCCCCGGGAACCCCGACGGCACCGCCCGCACGCCGCGACGCTCATGTCGGCAGCCCCTCACGAGGCTCGCGCCCGCTTCCTCCTCTTCTTTTCCTCCCTCTTTGTTCGCGCACTCCAAAGTCCGAGGCTGCGGCGCGGAGTCCCTGCGACGCGCGCAGGTCGCCCCGAAGGGGTTCCAGCGACGCGCGCGGGTCGTCGACTTCGCGGAGCGGAGAGGGCTAGCTGGCCGGCTGATAGCGGCAAGGCTCTGGCCGCTCGTCACGAAACATGACGTGTGAGGGGTGTGCCGAAATGGAGGTGGAACTGCATGCGGATCCTGCCACTGGGGCCTTCGGTGGGTCTCCCTATGGGGCCACAAAACGTGTGAGGGGTGTGCCGAAACGGAAGTGGAATTGCATGCGGACCCTGCCACTGGGGCCTTCGGTGGGGCTCCCTATGGGGCCGCGAAACGTGTGAGAGGTATGCCGGAATGGATGTGGAACTGCATGCGGACCCTGCCGCCGGGGCCTTCGGTGGGGCTCCCTATGGGGGCCACGAAGCGTGTGAGGGTGTGCCGAAATGAAGGTGAGCTGCATGCGGACCCTGCCACTGTGGCCTTCGGTGGGGCCCCCTATGGGGCCACGAAGCGTGTGAGGGGTGTGCCGAAATGGAAGTGGAACTGCATGCGGACCCTGCCGCTGGGGCCTTCGGTGGGGCTCCCTATGGGGCCACGAAACGTGTGAGGGGTGTGCCGAAATGGAGGTGGAACTAAACGCGGACACTGCCACTGGGGCACTCGGTGGGGCTCCCTATGGGGCCACGAAACGTATGAGGGTGTG